CACCATACCCTGCCGAGGGCTGCGACTAGTCAGCCGGTACTACTCCTTAGGGGGCTGCGACCAGTCAGCCGATTCCTATATCTTACCGGGAGCTTTCCTTAGCCTAATAGCCTTGTCCAAACCTAACTATTTCGCCGCCGGTAGGGGAGATTGTACCAGGGGTTCCAGTTTGTGCCAATAAACCTGTTGACTTTCCTTTTGATTTCTTGTTCTCCTTGGCTCGGCCGGGCCGGTAGTCATAACAGAACCCACCCACAAGTGTCCTTAGTGGGGCACGGAAACGTGGCGTGTTTCGGGGCCCGTTCTGCCAACGCTACCAACTGAGGCAGACCCCGCACACGTTACAATACACTAGAAACCAAATACCGGGCCATTAGATCCGGATTGTAAACACTACACGTCCCTATTTTATCAAGGTCTACGCCATACCGCCAAACAAATGTACGGTAAATCCAAAAAGGAGCAGATTTCTTAACAATAGGTAAATGTTGTCCACAAGTTCAAAATGAACAGTTGAATAATCCCCCAAACAAAAGATAAATCCCGTTTGTCCGCCGTAGCCAAAAGTTGTTACACAATAAAGTGTTTAGTAAGCACCATTTCCGCTGTATTCTATATATGTTTCGGTACACTAGTCTGAGATCTACTGGTTAGCCCTAACTTTGTAGCTGGAATTTATAAGTGCACGGTTTTACATGAAAAAATATTAGATTATTAAATAGAAACATAACATTATTTGCATCAACTTTACTCGGGCCACAGTCGTATTTTCACAAAAGACCTCTATATTGATATTTGTGTCTATTTCTATCTACGGTTAAAACACAGTTATGACATCATCCTTTGTTCTCATTAAAACTAAATACTAGTGGAGTAATATAGCATACTATCAGCACTACTGCCGTAACTATATCTGGCTATGTTCAAACGGACAATAATCGTACGCTAGACACTGCCACACTGTGAAAGTCTTGTACAGCTCCAATTATTACTACAAACAGATCAGCACTGATTTATCGACAACTATCATATTGTATAAACCAACTAGACTAATGGTACATCACGTATTCTAGGTCCGTGTCGTTACTACTCTATTTCTACGTTGTTATTACTTTGTAATTCATTTGTTCATGCTTCGTTTATGCTTTGTATCTATCATTTAAATGTGCACCTGGTGACCTTAGTTCCGGGACCACTTCTCATGTACGACGGGGAGTAACTCTTACGATCTTCTGCCTAATTTTACGCTGATAATGTAACTTATGATACTATAAAGGACAAAGGAAACATTATCACACATAGATTTAACAAAAGAAGGACATGGATAGTACAAAAACGTTATTTCCTTCACAGATGGATGGTCGCTTACCAAGGCACATTAAAATATAGATTAAAATATAGAAAGGATTTCTCTCAAAGAACAGGACAATCACCCCATTAACTTTCATTTAAAATATGGAGGACAAAATTAGTGGGAAATTGAGCCAAGTTCCCCGAGTGAAATGTTTTGATAGAATCTTCAGGAGGCATAGGAATTGTAATTTCATTAAGTGTGTTCGACTTGTGGTGAATTTTCAACGACAATAGATGTTATCGGGTCCAGAAAAAATATCAAACACAGAGAAAGGTACCAAACCTTTCAGGACAGACACTATTAAAGAGGTAATTAAGAAACGCTTTGCTACTGGCTACTTCGCGGTAATAACGAATGCAAATACACCAAAAAAAAACAAAAACAAAAAACCAACAACAAACAAACCAGAATGATAATTTAATCAGTGACGGCGTGCGAATATGTACAGTCTATCTCAACAATTATCTGCATAGGGGTATATCATACACAAGTTATAGCGTACATCATTAAAATTGATATCAATATTATATGGAACTTATCCAAATGGCAAATTTATAGTATCCTTTTTTTAAACCTATACTTATCGAAATGGCCACTTAAGCATTTTCCTACCTATCGTTTTACTTAAAAATAACAGAACAAAATCTCTCTAAATAGTCATATCTCTGTGTGAACAAAAAAATCGAATATTTAGTTTTGAATGTGATTTGTAAAGTTTAAAGTTGTGTGCGCGTGTAGATGAACTTTCCGTCATATTGAATATGTGAAATATGTTCATCGTCATTACCTCTCACACTAAGGCGTTCTGCGAGCCTTCAGCAAGACCTACTAGCTAGAGTGATTTCTATTAGATTGAAGGACATGTTTCATAATTGTTGCAAAATCTAAAAACAGTGGATTTTATTGAGGAATAGCTCTCTATTTTGGTCGAGCTATGAGATAATAACTCCTGTTGAGCACGTGTACATTGAAAAAACGGCGAAGCCATCTGAAATGAATTTATTCATGCTCAACTGGAGTTATCACCTCATAACTTGACCAAAATAGAAAACAAATTCTTATATTTACAGTCTTTTTATATGCATGATTCGTAACTTTTTTTATTCAGCCTGATATTTGTATAAGTCATGATAAACTCCGCCGACATCTTCTTTTAATGACGTCACATAATTGTGTCTCGAACGCTGACAATTTGCATAGCTCCGCCCACATGTATTGTTGTCGACGTCATCGAAACGTTTCAATTATTGAGATGATAACTCTAGTTTGCTCGAGCAATGGTTATTAAGTGAATGTCAGTAAAACACTAAAACATTTTTTTTGTAAATAACCACTACTATGTGAGCAACAATTCATCTCTGAATCTGAGCTTAAATTCTCAGTAGTAGCGTAACTTTGTACCAGTGCGTGATTCAGATATTAATGAATAATTGAATACGCCACCATTAGCTAGCAATGCTAATATTTATCGTGATCAGGGTCGAAAGTAGAGTTCAAACTCCCTACTGCAATAAACAAACAACATTAAACATTTAATTTCAATAATAAATATTGTAACTTTATTTCATCAATCCGTTCCAAACCGGGGATACAAAAACATTTTATCTATAGTCACTTTGAAGAGAGAAGTCAGTTATACTTTATACAAATCAACCTCTATATGTTATCGGTTATTTCATATTTGCATATGATAACAGCTATGCTGTAAGTTACAGTAAATACATTTTAAACATGTATGTTGCTGGTTATAGTATATAAATTTCAAATATATAGGCTATTGATTAAATTATATAAATGTCAAACTAATTGAGCTATGAGCTATAGTATGTAAATGCCAATATTATTGCTATTTGTTATATAGTATAAACATGTCGACATCTGTGATTCCAATTACAGTATATCAATGTCAACGCCAGTGCAATGAGTTATAGAATATACATGTCAACATTTGAGCTATCATTCATTTCTATATAAATGTCAACATCTGAGCTATCATTCATTTCTATATAAATGTAAACATCTGTGTTATCGGATAAAATTAACAAACGTCGACATCTGTTAACAAAAAACACTATAGACCGAACAAGGCATTCCAGCAGAATTAATATAACCTATAAAACTGCGCGAGACGGTGTTATCTCCGTCGAGGGCTAATATTCTGTTATATTATCCCACACGAGGCACAAGCCGAGGTTGTGACGTTACAGTACCTTAATCCGAGACTGAGATAAGCCGATCTCGCTCAGTTACAGGAAATATAATTTTTTTTTTCTCGCAACTCATTAGTTCGAGCTTTTCGTATTTTATTTTATTTTTACATCTTTCACGTCCGGTACCACAGTTGATTTAGCTTCTGCATCAGTATTAAAAACTTTCTTGTACATACCAATTTAGCCCGTGCTAATAACAGAAAGAAAACATGTTTTGCGATGTAGATTATATTTCACTCATAATTTTGTTAACTGGCACTGTTTAATGTACTGAACGTCGATAAAGAACTTTATAGATTGATATCCTTCATTTGTTTTAGCATGCTGATGATTAAATTGTGCAACTTCGGCACCAAATATTTTCGTGAAGGTGTTGGACAAATCGGACGAGATCGAAAATATTAGCACATGTATAACATGGAATACCCCTGTCCGAGGTGTGATTATACACATTTTACGATAAAAAGCCTAGCCATATATTGAATTATATCTATCATTAAATACACTATCGTTAATTTTCGTTTCTTAAGCAGTCACCTACTAATTATAACTTTTCCTACTTCTGGAATTTAGATGGCACAGTTGATTCGTTTCTGCATAGAATGTTGTAAATATCTCTGGATAGATACGTTTTTATGTTTTTCCAAATTATAGGACTATAATTCTATAATAGTTCTAAAGATAACACCACTTCGAGACCAATTTATCTGTCAAAGATTATTTACAGTGCCGTAGAACCTATGTGACCGAGCAGGCGTTTCGATTTTTTAAGATTTTCATTAGTTTTTCTTCTTCTCAATTTATGGTAGGCCAATTTTGTCATTGTATTTTTATCCTTTTATTTTGTAGGCATCAGGCTCTTTTGTTACAGATTATCACGATTCAGGTAGAATTTGAATATTTGCACCAACCCAAAACATGATTTTAAACTCAAAACTGTGTATAAATAGTAACAGAAGAAATGCTTTTTTGTTGTTGTTGGACATGAACTAAGCAACTACACAATAGCATTGTAAATGCAAGTTATTTATGAAATGCTCTCATGGTGACAAAGGATAGTGAAACACATAAATAATCGCAACGGCTGTACGAACTTAACAATGATATTGTTCTTACCAACTACAAAATGGCTTTTGCAATTGAAATATAACATACCTTATAAAATATGTGTTACAGAAAATAATTAAGACACGTAAGAAATGACCAACAATGATATTGTTCTTAGCAACTACAAAATGGCTTTTGAAATTGAAATATAACATACCTTGTAAAATATATGTTACAGAGAGAAATTAAGACACGTAAGAAATGACCAACTGGTTGTCATAACAACTTATAACATCAAAGGGAATGACCAACCGATAAGTCTCAATGTATAAAAAACTACAGAAATTATCTCTCAAAGATATCATTGTAAATTTAGAATCATGCGTAATTTGTATATACATTAAATGATAAGGAATAATTTAAATAGTGTTCGCCGCGTGTAGATACTGCCAATTGTTAATGACATGCAGGCCTGTCAACACACTTCGGCAACTGTACCTGAAAAAAAGGAATAATTACTTGTGTTATTCAAAGAATAGGTTTCAAAAAACAGCAGAAGAATGAAATGCAAATAATAGAATTAATAATATTTCTTTCGTGATTAGTATTGCCAATTATGTTTGAAAATGTCCTCAGTCAAATAAGATGCAGTCTTCTATGATGTTTGATCAATATCCAATTGTACTAGGTTCTGTCTTCAGTGATATTTGATACAATCCTCTATCTTACTAGATTCCGTTTTCCGTTACGCGATTAATTAGTGTCCTAAGTCACATCAATGTTTGTCCGTAGTCATCAATCATATTAGATATAGTGTTGCATATTTGTTGTAATTACCAGAAATTGAGAAAGGCAGTTATAACCAGCCGATAACTTTAATAATTATCTTAATTAATATAAAACAGCATGTTTTTATCTTTTTATTCTTTGTCTGAGATTTGATTTGTTTACTAGTCGTAGAGAATTCTCCGAGAAGAGTTCGTTTTTTGTTCTGTCAAAAGTAGCGATAATAAACAATAAAACGACCTGCCGTACGGAAATGTTTCACACCGTTAGCTTGACACAATGTTTATGTATTCCTGCCAAATGCTTGCATTATAGTTCTTCTCTAACGGTTAAAATTTTTGAATCAACATTGACAAGGCGTATCTTACAAGCCATTTTGATCGCTTAAAGGAAATTCAAAACTCGACAAAAGACAAAACCAAAAAACAGTACATTATAAGTCAGTTCAAATTTCGAAATACACTATCATTCTAATAGCGCTCACCATCTGTTGGTTCGGTAGGACTTTCGAACAGCGTCGGAGGGTTTTCCCCGTTTGTTTCTTGATCTATAAAAATAAGAACACATGTTTCCCTCAATATCGAAGTTCTCTGATGATGCATTAGAAAATAAATAACTCTGAATATTATACGTAAAAAAGTCTACCACGTCAATAAAACGACACTGATTGATTATTATGCATGAATTGACAATGATAATTGCGCGTGCTTATACATCTTATTATTTCCCAATAAAGCATTACGTACAACGCTCTTTACATGCACCACCGTAATGAAAATGTAAACAACTGAGTCGTCGACGTCCATTCGGCTACACTAACAGCAAAGTGTACATACGTTTACAGCGTAGTTGAATCGACGTCGATTTTATAGTATATTTCCAAATGGTACATTATTTACACCTTTATGTTATAGGCTTCAAATGTTGCCTAATGATGATGACATAGTGCTTACATAACTAGTCATCGAAAGGTCACTCTAACACTTTTAAAGACTAGTTGTGTTGTATGAAGCATCCTATACTGTACTTAACTTAATGCAAGAGGCCGATATTGTTACAATGACGTAAATTATATGCTTGAAAATTTCTCGCAATCACATTGGCCGGATCCTATACACGTGACCAGTCCTCAAAAACTCATATAGACTGGTTTTCCGGTGAATATCGACTTCTAAATATAGCTTATATGGAAATCCCCCGCAACCTGTCGTAGCGCATGCGCAGTTAGACTGAAACGCGATCTGTCAGACGACAACAAAAGATGACTGCTGGCGAACGTTTCGCCTCCGTTACATCTGAAAATTTCCAAAAAGTACTCGAAGATAAAAGATGCTGTCCACACAAAAAAAGGCCACCGAACGCGAAGTGCGTGTCCTCCAGGCTAATCTTAAGGAAAAGAACCTTGGCGATGTCTTCGAAAGCTACGATGCCGAACTGTTGGATTCAACCCTGGCTAATATTTTTACACAAAGGCTCGTTCCAGTAAAGACTACCAATACAAAACTTGATAGTTGAAGCATATAATAAAACAGTAATGGGCTTTTGAACTGGTAAATATGATGTGGTATGAACCTTAAAAAACTATATTGACCTCGGCTTCGTCAATAATTGTATAATAACATATTAAACGTACCTAAGGGATGAACACGTGATGACGCAGGCATGTTTGAAGATGGAACAGCTGCATCGTCCTCTGCGTTCCGTTTTTGATAATGTTCGACAAGTTTACAGCAACAGGTGAGGAGTTGTAAGGCAAGGCCTATATACGACATACTGAACTGTATTGATCACACATGAAAGTAAAAGAAAATAATTGTCAGCTGTCAATGTTGTTTCAAGTGAAGGGGATTGTTTCTGGTTGACTTAAATCATGAAAAAACATGGTATATCTGAGAAAAAAATAAAAAATAAAATGGGACCAACTAATGGTTTCGAAAGCTTTTGTCATTATAACAAAGCATTTTAAATACATGCCATATTCGTTCAGGTCAAAAATATTCTACTTTTGTTGAAATGGTTCTAGCTGCAGATAAAGAATTATAATTAATGAGTTTGTGAAACAAGTTTGATACATACATTCATTTATAACTGTTTAGTGATGCATTGAGTGTTTGAAATAATCTCTTTACCCACACTCATTAAAACAGTTATAGGTGCTTAGGAAAATAAAGTCAGCGTTATTAGATTCGGGTTAATAGTTGGAAAAAATAAGACAACGTCATATGCAATGTTTGGTACAACATTTATGAAGGACAAACACCTAAAGTGCATGCATTTATATCGTACATGTATGGCAAATTGAACCACCACGGAATAAAGGAAATAATCTACATCAAACAAACGATTACTTTACTACAAATATGTTACGAACAAGAGAAAAGGAAATGTTACCCCGAACCCAGTTTTTGGAGTTATGTCGACCTTTGATGTCTTATATCACGGGAAGTGTAGCAAGGGAGTTATGTCGACCTAACCTGGAAAACAATACAATTCTTGCAGTTTTTCCCACTGAAACACGCGTTTTGAGTAAACAGAACCAGAACTAAGGCATGATTGTGAACAGCTAACACGTAAATTTAATTCGTTTTCTTAGATTTTCCTTTATATGCATGTATCATGTGTGGATTGGTCGAATGATTGGTTAACACCCCGGCCTTCCACGCAGGTGGCCAGGGTTCGATTCCCGAAGTCGTCGTACGCATGGATATTCAGAGAAAGTGTTTTTCTCCTGCCCAAACAACTACAACAACCCAGGTGGAGTATACATTGGTCTGGGGTGGATGTTGCGGTATCTGTGATGTAGCATTCAAGTGAGGTGGCACTATAAATGATGCCGTTGGAAGCACGGTCCCACTACAAACAGAACACATTACATCTCCAGCACACACGCAGGCATACACACATAGGGTGATATTAGTCAGGTGGCATAGGACTAGTAGTGAGCGCCTGATAAGGCATCTCCAGTGAATTTCTCAAAATTGTATTGAATTACGATATGCTTATTGTATTTATTGTATATCTATGTACTGTAAAGCTCTTTAGAGCTTTATTTTCAAATGTTGTATATTATTTTTATTATTATTATTATTATTATTATCATTATTAGCTGATAAACCTGAATTATTTATTAAAACGTCCAAGTGGTGTACAAACAACAAGAAAAAATCAAGGTGTAAAAATCAACTAAAGCCTAAATTCGATAAAACTAGGGCAAGATAATGAACAAAACAATAATTTTCATGGTGATCCTTGTAGAAGTGCAATAAATATCAACTGGTGTTCCGGAAGGGTAAGCGTCTTCTGCTTCATCTACGACACCGCCATGTATATCTTGGTCAAATTCTAGTTATGTCACGTCCTCATATGAAAAAAGACTTCGACCTTCATATCACACAAAGACAATAGCATATTTCCCTACGAGATCATGATGGTCAGCATAATATATGTCCGTAGTTTTCATCAACCAGATTCTTTGGAAACCCTGTTTTGTTTATTTCTCAGTCAGCAGTCACGAAAGACATGCTAATTGTAACAAGCTATTGAATACCGAATCAACTACGATATGTTTACACGTAGGTAGAGAAGAAAATTCCAAATCGTCTTACTAATCGTACAACTTCGTAGTAAGCCACCCCTGTTAGTCATGCTGTAACTAAAGATCGATAAAGGCAGCTTAAGTAGAAGAGTCTGTAGCGTCCATGATTTCAAGCTCATATTGGTATAATTTTCCACACAGTAGTTTGTCAAGAACTTTGGTCGGTGTGGTCTCGGTTGAAAGGTAAACATACTGCTGATTTCTGTTGTTTCAGATGTTTATACAGCGGTTGCGATATTTCAATCCTTTATTTCTTTCAGGAGCAGGGAAAAAAGTCTTGATTGCCCCAAAATGCATCAAAATTCAAAACCTTAAAATGAACTTTCAAACGACTGTTTCTTTAATTTTTAATACCTCCCAAATGCTATCATGGAAATATCTATTTGTATTTCTAATTACTGATGCCATGTTAACAAGTTCAAATTTGCATCAATTTGAAATAAAAATTCGATATTCTATGAATATTATCATATTTTGCATAGTAATTCTCCTTGAAACTATAGAGCGCATAGAGCGAAAACCTGTCAAAATTGACTGAATATTCAAATTTCATTTATTTATGCAAATATCAACTGGTTATAATGGCAGCATGATTGAAAACACAAATAATTGTTTGCATGATAGTACCGGCGAAGTATTTAAAATTAACGAAACAGTCAATTGAAAGTTCTATTGAAGATTTTTAGTTTTGATGGATTTTGGGGCCAAAAAAGGAAATACACTGTTTTTAATGTAGTTAGACATCATAGAAAGGTTTTAAAACATTTAATGTTTAGTCATTAATGTTAATGATACTACTTACCTCTGGCTGTTTTAAAACCCTTCAGTCGGCTTAACCAATCGCGTGTGATCCGTTGGTTATTCAACCTGTGTATGAACCTACATGTAAGGCAAATGTCTGTAACAGGAAGAAAAAGTCTAAGGTTAAATTCTCTTTACTGATAAGACAATATGATGACCGTGACCGAAACATACTTGCAGCGACAACCCTCAGAAAAGTTGCCCCCTGCCATGATTCACACACACACATAAAAATGTTTTAAATAATAATTCACTTTACAAGTCAATAGTTTATAACTCATACCCGCACTGTCTGTACCGTTTAAACAATCAACCTCTGTTATGGCTAAGTATCGCTTTAATACGCATACAAATCAATCTTTGTCAAATAGTTCATGTTTATCATCCTACTTTTTAAGTGTACAAGTATATCTGAAAAATAAAAAAAAGGATTCACTTTAAATTATGTTTTAAATTGGTCATAAATAAATGGATACCGTATTTATATCGCCATAAAGTCGATTCCCATGATCAATCATCAAAACCAACTGTTTACAAAGTAATATGAGAAACTAAATTAAGAAGTGTATCACGATCGGGGTTGCCAAGCTGCCGAAATATGTATGACAGTTAGGCGCGATATAAGAGGTTACTGTGCGAACTAGCTCTATCTGTCTGCTTTGTATTGATTAGCTTTATCTGTCTAATGTTTAGTTTCCCTGATGAACGATGTATTCATGTCTGTGAAATACCCTGACTGTCTGTGATGTGTGGATGATCTATATATGTATGTTTTGAAATTTCCCTGATACATGTGGTATTTATGTCTTTGAAATATCCTTCACCTGTTTGATGTGTTATTTGTCTGATGCACGTGGTATTCATGTCTGAGAAGGATCTTTCCTTTTTGAGTTGATTGTGAGGATCTTTAACATTTGTATAATTTTCCTGGTGCACATGGTATCTATGTCTGTGAAATATTCTTCACCTTTCTGTTGTCTTATTTCTGATGTACGTTACATCTCCAGCACACACGCAGGTATACACACATAGGGAGATATAAGCCAGGTGTCATAGGACAAGCGGTTAGCCCCCGATAAGGCAGCTCCTGCGAATTCCTCAAAATTATATTGATTTATGTATATGCTATTTGTATTAATTGTATATCTTTGTACTGTAAAGCGCTTTAGAGTGGCTTAGCTAGATAGGGCGCTATATCAAATGTTGTATATTATTATATTATCATTATGCAAGTGGTATTCAGGTATTTGAATTTTCCTTCACCTGTCTGTTGCGTTATTCTCTAATGCACGTGGTATTTATGTCTTTGAAATATCCTTCACCTGTCTGTAGTTTTATTCATCTGATACACATGGTATTCATGTCTGAGAACGATATATACCTTTTTGAGTTGATTGTGAGGATCTTTAACATTTGTATAATTTTCCTGATGCACGTAGTATCTATGTCTGTGAAATATCCTTCACCTTTCTGTTGTCTTATTTCTGATGTACGTTACATCTCCAGCACACACGCAGGCAAACACACATAGGGAGATATTAGCCAGGTGGCATAGGACAAGTGGTTAGCCCCCGATAAGGCAGCTCCTCAGAATTCCACAAAATTGTATTGATTCATGTATATGCTAATTGTATTAATTGTATAACTTTGTACTGTAAAGCGCTTTAGAGTGGCTTAGCTAGATAAGGCGCTATATCAAATGTTGTATATTATTATATTATCATTATGCAAGTGGTATTCAGGTATTTGAATTTTCCTTCACCTGTCTGTTGCGTTATTCTCTGATGCACGTGGTATTTATGTCTTTGAAATATCCTTCACCTCTCGTTGTGTTATTTATCTGATGTACGTGGTATTCATATCTGAGAAGGATCTTTCCTTTTTGAGTTGATTGTGAGGATCTTTAACATTTGTATAATTTTCCTGATGCACGTAGTATTTTTGTCTGTGAAATATCCTTCACCTTTCTGTTGTCTTATTTCTGATGTACGTTACATCTCCAGCACACACGCAGGCATACACACATAGGGAGATATTAGCCAGGTGGCATAGGACAAGTGGTTAGCCCCCGATAAGGCAGTTCCTGCGAATTCCACAAAATTGTATTGATTTATGTATATGCTAATTGTATTAATTGTATAACTTTGTACTGTAAAGCGCTTTAGAGTGGCTTAGCTAGATAAGGCGCTATATCAAATGTTGTATATTATTATATTATCATTATGCAAGTGGTATTCAGGTATTTGAATTTTCCTTCACCTGTCTGTTGCGTTATTCTCTAATGCACGTGGTATTTATGTCTTTGAAATATCCTTCACCTGTCTGTAGTTTTATTCATCTGATACACATGGTATTCATGTCTGAGAACGATCTATACCTTTTTAGTTGACTTTGAATGATCTTTTACATTTGTGTAATTTTTCTGATGCACGTAGTATTTATGTCTGTGAATGAACTTTACCTGACTGAGTGACCTAACAAAAGCAAGAAAGTCGAGTTTCTTTTTTTTTTCTTGAAGTTTCATTTGTTGCAAAAGCTAATTGCCTTTCTGTCACTCTAACTCTTGTGGCTGTCGTTGATACGAAAGTGCTGTTTAATAGATGATCGTCTAATGACCAAGTAGTATGAATGTATAGTGGTATGAGTCATGCGTACGTAGTTGTACCGGCAAGTGACCAATCCCTTTTGCTCCCTCAATGCAAACGCGAGAAGCAGATTTCTGATTTTGTATTTATACCAGGTACCAAAGTAGGGTCCCCGTGACCTAGCCATGTCAAGAATCTGGTAGGATGGTACCAAATTGGCCACTATTTATAGAATCTTGGCACTTTGAGCTACTGGAAATGACCATGTACTGATAGATTGGGGAGGTCCATAAAGTACAACGACACGTGATTGGTCAATCGCTAAATCCATGCGGGACGTAAATATAGAATGTCGGTCTTAATTAAATTACACTACATTACATTATGCTGTAGTCAGCAATTATATAAAGGTGAAGTATTAACTTATCCAAATCCATCCGGTACATCAAACATTGTTTCGATGGTATTGAGACTTGCTGTAGGCAGCAACTACATACAAGTACCATGCTTTCCTGATTCTACTGCAGTCAGTATCGGTAAGCAAATGTTTATATAACAATAGGGATATACTGTCTTATCATTCAATTCAACATTAAAATTACCATGCTTTGAATAGCATTGCATATTCATTCTTTTCCCAGCACATATATTTTCTATTCCCATTTAAGTTTTAACAATATTTGTATTCCCTTACCGACCGAATACTTCCGGTTCATATTAACATTGTAATTATAATTATTGTGGGACTTTTCTTTACAATCACATTAGTGACATATGGAGACGTGTCAACCATGTTGTGTATGAATCATATTTAAATATCTGAGAATAAAGTCTCAGACTCACGTGCGATCATTAACTGTATGTTGTGCATATGTATATTGATTGCAAATTCATTTTACGACTCTTTTGTATACATATCCTGATAGACATATTTAGATGATCTTAACCCGCCCCTGCATAAACTCCCTGGTGTACGTGAAATAAATGTTTAAGATGAACTTACCTTGTTATTCGCTATATTCCCTGATAAATGCGGTAGATATATTTAAATAATCTTGGCCTGTCTTTCGCACGAATTTTCTTATGTACGTGGTATAAATGTTTAGATTACATCGACCTAGTCTTTACACAAATTCACTGATGTCTGTAGTAGTTACAACTTCACATTTTATTATTTCCACCTCTTGTGTTTTTAAGTTGGTTTTAATTGTTTTGTTCCTAACAAAGGCGCATGTTTGAAAACTGGTACATTTCGCTATGTCGTTATTACGTTTTTTTTTTATACAAAGCACAATGAGTGAAAAAATCCCAGGCTCGAAAACACTTAAATGAAAACTTCCTGGTGTGAAATTGAATCAATAAAAAATTATATGGCTTCGTGTGAGGTATAATCGATCAATTGTCTTACTACGTTAACCTTTACCTGTACGTCTAGCATTTATAACCATGCATTCTTGCAATGTTATGAGTTTTACACATGTCTACTAACTGACAATATTGTTTTAAATTAAAATCAATTTTGTTGTAACAAGTTATAAGAAAATCTAAATAGATAAATGCATTGTTGATTCTCTATTTTTAAAAAGGGGTATTATTTTGTGTCGTCTAGAATCTGGGTCATCCAAAATTGAGCGATCCAACCTGACCCTTTAGTCCTTCACGCGATTATTCAAGGAACCCCCAAAATATATAAGATAGGGGTTCTCCGAATTGTCGATAGTCTACTTAATACACAGTGTCATTGTCAGATACAAATGTTAAGACTGGCTTAGATTAAATCCGGATTGAAAATAGTTTGGTAGATTTTTGAAATACCAAAAATGAGTCACCATAATCGAGTGACGCTCGTTTGTGATATTTATAGAACGCTCTGTTGTCACCAATTAGCCTTCTTTTCATTTACATATATCAATTACGAATAACCGATGACGGCATCAATTTAAGTTAACGATTCAAATGGACGAAGCTTCGCATCATTTTATAATGATATTTGTAATTTGTATGAATACAAGTACATGTATTCTGTAATCTAAACTATAGAACAGTTCAGTAACGTAAAGACTGGACAATTCTGAGCATTACATAAACCTTTTACGTCTGCCAAAGCTCTTTGAACTCATGATTAATCGTCTGTAGAGGAAAAATGGTGTATCTGCTAAGCATTCTAACTTACAGCTTTGTAAAACATGAAACGTTGAGAGATTTAAAGTTTTAAAAGTATTTTTATAAAAAATATTATCTGACTTCGACCCCCCCNATTCCAGGAGTGCCTATATAACTATGGGACCATGGATTTACTTGTATCGACCTGCATTTAGATAAACTTCAAAATCAATGGGTTTTCATTTATATAGCTCGCGTAATTCAACCAAATTAAGTAGTGAATGGAAAACTGAATTTGAATAGAGACTTTATTCTACACACAACTATAGCTTACATACCATATATAGTTCAATTGATTTTCCTGACAAAATAATCGACATCGTCAAATCTAATGACTGTCAGAGGATTTGCCAGACATGTCAGAGAATCAGACACTATTAACATATTAGTTTTGTTTATCTAACTAAAAAAATGTCATTGTCCTTGTTCAATGAACCTGCGCATTCTGAAATGTAACGGATTCATTGTTTTAACAATTCTTTATACATGCATTTTTCAGAAGTCAGATAAATTTTTTTTATAAATTTTAAATGTTTAAATCTGTCAACGTTTCATGTTTTCAAAAGATAAAAGTTAGAATGCTTAGCACCATTTTCCCTCTACAGACGATTAATCGTAAGTTCAAAGAGCTGTGGAAGATGTAAAAGACGTTCGCTTAAATCTACAGTATTAGTTTCACGTGTTTCTTTAAAACTTAAAAAACAATTCTCTTTAATAAGTTTTCTTTAGGAAAAGGTACTCAAAACTAAATTGTCACAGACAATTAAATTTGTATAGGAATGTGATAAGGTCGATATGACGATTCAATTGTATTGATACATTTGTACATTGAAGGAATACTGAAATGTCTATTGATCCAAATTTTCATCAAAAATCGAGCTGTAAAGCAAACGCGCATAAATGAATATTAGCGTTATTTATTTAACAACAATTGTGAATCAAGATATTTAAACTTATATAAACCGATTTTACTGGTTCATATGCTAGCGCACAGATATCTCAGACGGTGACGTGATATATTTTTTTCTCCCACACCTGACAGATTTATCTCCCGTTTTGCCGGTGCTAGATTTATCTGTCTCCGCCCTAGGGTTGAGACGGGGGATTCCCCTATTCATAACAATGGTATGAGGTCACTTCATCAATACAATGACGTCACGTCAACAATCCATCAACAAATTGCCTGTATGTGTTTTGGGTCCATGTTTACCTTTATTTCACATTAAAATACTGTTAAATATGGGAGAAAAATAATCAATCGCTACTGGTTGTGTAAGATAAAGAAGATAAAGAAATATCAACCCTCGGACTAAGATTTTTTGTCCAGAACTCGGCAAGCCTCGTTCTGGACAAAAAATCTTAGTCCTCGGGTTGAGATTTCTCTATCTTACACAACCAGTAGCGATATATTCTATTAGTAACTTATATTAGCTACATATGTGAAATTGGGTAACTGTCATTTAATTACATGAATTTCATTGCTGTCACATAAACCGATCTCATACTCGAGATTGGATTCTGTGCTCAAACCAACTTTCTTGTAAGTCATGTGACACAGTCAAACTCACTTGTTAACATTTTAGTTGGTATTCGGCTAAAATTCACTGACAAAATGTTAGTTTTCATTTATTTATTAATTATCGAAACAAGAATCTGGGTTTGAGCAAACAATCTGATTTAAGTATGAAATAGTTTCATGAATACGGGCCCTGGTTACTTTTCTTTAACAACTGGTACTACCTCGAGATGATAATCAGATAATCAGCGTTGTGCTGCTATATTGCTGTACACAAAACGTATAATTATATACTCGTTCATTATTTGATCAAATTTTGTTTGATATAGTCGGAAGATATATGTCACAAACACATGGAAGTCCACTAGGTAATGTAGGGTATTATATTGCACTATACAAAGTTTGGGAACTGAGTGTATTTTGGTATTATTAACAGCATCATACTGACGACTCAAGATTAACTGTACTTATTCAAAGTAAATGTTTTTCACATTTATACAGTGTCAACAAACAAACCATTCAATGTCGATACAAATAAACATTGTATTTCATCGAGGTAAACTACATCTGTACTGTATGTAGGAGCTTGTTTTTTTGTTTTTCCAAACAGAATAAATATCGAATCACTGTGTAACATGTACAGGAGCATGTACACTTATTATGTACAGTAAGCATATTGGCATTAGTTATATCACGTTTCAAGTTTTGAATGAATATGCCGGGTGGAATGCTACGCTGGGTTCCATCGGCGTGGCATTTCGGTGAGGTGGCACTTTAAAGTCAAAATTAGATCCGAGCTATCGCAAGGAGGCAAATTCTCCAACATACTCTGCCTTCAGCACATATACACAGTTGCATACATACACAAAACACATGCAGACATTCCTTAAATGACCTTAGCTGTTGATAGTACGTTCAACCCTGCATAACCAAACCTTGACAAGGGACATAAGAACATGTACATGTAAAATCAATATTTAGAAAGCTGTCAAAATCATATACGTATGAATTAAAAACAAAAACATAAGATACATACATAAACATTTAATAAATTGTTATACGAACAATGTACGCAGTCATGCTACATTTTAGAAATAACAAATATTAAACGGACGGATTGTTTGGATATCACACACATAAGTTAACTAGACAAAATGTCACATGGTTATATTCACCTGGTATTGGCAGGAATTACATGAAAACATAAAATTTTATATCTTAGTGAAGACATAGAAATAATAGAAATAAAGGAGTTATTGATGACAAGCAAAGTCGGCAGTTATAAAAGCTAATTGAGAACGTAAAGAGACAATAGTAACCTGCAAAATGGAAAAAAATCGTTTATAGAAATTAAAACTTTTATTTCTTATTAATTTATCTATTTGTGCATTTCCGATAGCCGTCCTTTATTATACATATTTGTGTTAACGTTATAATAAACTGCACCTGTTTACAACTTATCTAAAACCTAAGTTAGTCAATATTAAATATGTAATCCAGTGAAAATCGTTAAATTTTGGACAGATGGGAGCTTACTCTAACGAACTAGGTATTTTCTAGAAACAGATTATAATGTGGCCATTATATTTCATACGTCAGCTAAATTTGGAATCTATTACTCTGCATGTGTTTAGATTCATTAGATACCGACCTGAAGTATTGTATTAAAATACAAAGGTAAATTGTGTTTACCATAAATCATTGATAACAAATGAATCAAAACTAAAATTTCTCAGATTCTCCTGAATCAAGAACGAGCATTCTTGTTTTGTTGGATATATGGCTAACACAAGTATTAACACTTTATTTTTCTCAATAGCAGAATTCATGGTTCTAAGGTCAACACTATGAGATTCTGATACAAGGATTACATGCGAGTATACCGTTGTTTTGGTTCCAAATTTCCAGAGGGGTCTCCAATTGGGGGAAAATTGAGGAAAATGGTGAAAATTCATGATTTTTAAAGAATATTCTCAGGATGGGGGATTTTCTGGAGCCCAAAAAATCCATCTGGGCTTACCAAAGATGGTTTTCGTTGTTTGACAACTTGTTTATACGGTTTGTTGACAAATTATGGTAAGTAAAGAAAACCTTAATCCAGGAACTACCATTCAGAAAACCTCTGGACTTTAACAGCCACTTACTAAATCCTACTGTAACGTGCCAAGCCACGAAGTGTCTGGATTAATGAGTCTTATTACAAGTCCCGCAAAAACTGATGACTTTCAATAATTCCATCCATTTCCTAGAAATATCAACCTTATCCGTCCATGTCTTTGAACAGTGCTGTAAAAAATATTATGAAAAAGAGAAATATATCAACATGGTTTGATGACTCGCTAGATGTCTTAATATTTGTATATGAAAGTATTTTTTTTCAGTTTTGAAAAACACGTTTTTTGACAGGAATAATGTCAGAATTATGTCTGTATCAGAATGGAAAATTGTCTGACTTGTAGAATAAGTCGCTTCACTTCCCTTTGACCGTTGGTTCATCTTGTACATATAATCTTTAACTTTTGTAAAACTCTGGATATATTCCACACTACATTGACTCACTTGGGTCAATTGACAGGTTTTCGTTCAGGTTTTCATTAATGGTGTAGCTACACTGTATGGGCTGGTGACAATTTTGTGGTCAGTCTTATATTTATAATGTGACACTTGTGTTTGTTGACAGGTTGACAAAGTTCAATTTAAGATTTTATTTGGTTTAATTTTTTTTTGACAATACATTGAAATACAAATGGTACATTTTATAGAACAGAAAAGGAAATGACACTTATGTAAAGGAGGGGTGCCAATTTGGGCCTTCTGGTGGCTATCACCGATCAGTTTATTTTTTTGTGTATACATACCTTGGGGTTATGAGGTTTGGTTAAGATATTCATTAATACAATTTTGTAAGATTATTGTATGGTTCTAATATGCATTTAGGCACACACAAAAAGAAAGAATTGTTGACATAATTGAGCCAATATATAACAAGGTCACAGTGGCCTACATGTCAACTATGTGTTACTTTTTTCTACCATTTTTAATATTTGCAGCTTTAGTGTTACGCAATACACCAAAATGATGAAGAAACTTTATAAAAAATAGCATGTAGATTTGTAAAAAAAACCCGTCCATTTGTGATGTTGGTCCCCCAATCTACCCCCCTCATATCTTGGAATGGTCTCCAAGCTGACCTTAAGTTCATGTCATATAATGATGGCATAGCCCCAAGGTATGTATACACACAATAAAAAGAAGTTATCGGTGATTGCCACCAGAAGGCACAAATTGGCACCCCTCCTTTGTTACCTGTTCATAATCGACACTTTTATCATCACTAGCTACAGGAATGAAGTAATATGAACAACAGAACAAATACGGTAAATGGGGAGAGGGTAATGGATTGGTATGCCATGGAAACCAGGAATGAATAATATATCAATATACATGTGATCATCACATCTTTATGTCATATTGCTATATTGGCATGATTATGTTATAGTCGATGAAATTTTCAGCAGATTTTAGTTAGTCGGGTAGCCGGGTTAGGGATCAATCATACTTGCAATGATCGGGTAGTATGGATTTATTTACGAGTTCGATTTCATGTTTATTATTATCGGGTAGCTTGGATTTTGGTTTATACTTACAAGCATCGGGTAGTGTGGGTTTGTTTACAGGTCTGGGCCGTCCATCGTAGTCGTCGTCGCCGTCTTTCCCTGTAAAGTCTTCTGTATAGTACTGTGTCTGTGCCACGATATATTGGCTCATTGTATCCAAACGGTTCCGTCTATGTTGTAGGTAGCAAATAAAGGCCGACGCCAATATCACCATGACAACAAATGTTCCAAAAACTGACCCAACCACAATGGCCGTGCTGGGGATGAAAAGAAGTCCACGTTTTCCCTCAAAAATTATTAGGAAAATGCATTTTAGCAGCACTATAACAGGGCTATGGAAGTTGACAACCATTTTCTTACCTGGTGGGTCTTTAGAAGACTGCCGTATGAACTATTACTATAATGTAAAGATTGTCATTTCAATGCTACAGTATTATCTTAGCTGGGATAAAAACCTTTTATTTGAATGACTGTTTTGTTATCATAGCTGTCATAAGACAAATAGATCTCGAATATATAAATGAACATATTTTCAAACACAAAAGGATTTAACAGCTAAAGTAATATTTCTGTTCGTGTTCAAATCTGGATATCCCTATTGATTACTGACCTTAACAAAAGTGTTAAAATGAAGATGCATACACCTTGTTTTTTGGATCGTCTTTTTATCAAATTTCTATAAATAATCTGTAAAATATTGAAGTGTGCTTACTCTTGTTGAGAATAACTAATATGAAGAAGCTTCTATCTATGTTAGCAAATATATATCTGGCTTTGCAGTTTTAGCCGTCTTATCTTTGATTGACATTTTTTTTTTAAATGATTTTAAATCTAATAATACTTACGTATTTGGACAACAGTGAGTAGAACCATATGTACTACAACATCCTGAGTCACAGTAAATTTTACCACTACATATGGTGCAGTACTCCCCGGTCAATACCTCTGTATAAAACAATCACAAAAGAATGTTACGTTCGTCAATAATATCGATATATTTTGGCAAAAATGTGAACCAAACATCAAATCGAGTATAAAAGCAAATTTAAATGTTAAAATCCAATCTGTTGCTGTAATAAATCCATTTAAACTGAGACAAATGTATTACTTGTTTTTCTTTTTTCAATAGGATATACATGTGAAGACTTCAGACACTTAGGTAATATACTCTACTTTACATGTAAGAATATTAGACTATCGACCTAGCAGGAGTTATGCTATTTACATAATAAGCGTAATAAGAAACCAATCTGCATGAGTATGCTAGATCATCGCTGTCCGGCGGCTAACATGCTTTCATCCCTCATGTAAAACGGTCGTCTGATATATTATTTGTTTTTCCAACATCTACACACACTTCCGGCTTTTCTGGACAACTATACATTAAACCTGTCTTCCGTCGCACCCTCTATACAGTTTATATAACTAAGTAAACATGGTTGCTTGATTTTAACTGACATTGAATTCATGTGAGTGGCTCATTCATTTTTACCTAAACAAAACAAAGTAGCGATACTAATTAATTACATGATAATAAAATTGACGATCGTTAAAAATAATCTTTTATATACTATAATAATGATTGTTATTTGAATATGGATTAACTCGGATCTTATACAAGGGTGTATTTTTGGGTCATTGTTGTTTGATTTATATGTAAATGACTTACCTATATATCTTTTAACATTTGATCGACTTTGGTCGATTTCCTTGACCAAAACGAAAGTTCTTTTGGAGACAAAGTAAATAGAATTACCTCAAACAGTTCATGTTGAGCTTTCTCATGACTAACCCAATTCATCAATTACACATCCATATCACAATGACCTGATATGTTGTCCCCTGCTTATCATACTCATTGCAGGGTTAGTCAGTAGTACTGTATGCATTATATTTATACTACTTTTATGTGCAAAGGGAGACAACTTTTAAATTATTTAGGAACAATATTCAACATTTTCAATATTTACATTTTCAAAATAGAACGGATTGGTGTTTAAGCAACAACATGTAACTTAAGTCATACATAAGTTTGCTACAATTGTCAATCAATATATTCTTGAAAAACAAGGTAAAAACATTGTATGCATTACCATGGGAGATACCAGCACATCATCAACAAATTACTACAAAGATGTATACCTTAAAACAAACTGGGTTAAGCTGATGAAAAGTGTTTTCTAAATCTGCACTGCTGTCGCAATCTAACGAAGATTTATTTTTTTAAATATGCCATCTGATCCTATAATGTTATACAACAGCTGATCCATTGTCTAAATCTATCGTTCTCACAAACTGCAAAATCAGGTAAAAAGAATTATTTAAATAACGCAACATAACACTTAGGGGTACTCTTAAGTGACACAATGATAAAAGAGGTAATTGTCATAACTATATAGCTCGTCCCTGAATGCATTAAAACCCGAATCATTGCACCGTTGCACATGATTAAAAACTCAGCTGTTAAATCTTAGCTTGTCCAGACCGAATTCCGATTTTTTTTAAAGGGCCTCTAACGTAGTACAGTGTAGGTCAGAAGAGTAGAATAATACTCCACCAAGTTTACGACAATCTCCAATACTCTTATCGTTCGAGATGAAGTAAACCATCGTATGCTATGGAAAAAAAAGCCCAACACATTTGTCCTTGATCTGATCTGTTTCGTAAATCAACTGTGCTGGTTATTCGAGCCGAAATAACAATATTAAGATAGCAAGTCTTTACTGCTCACATACATGTAGTTCTCATCTTAATGTTATCTTTCGTTTGTATCAACTTCTCAGTGATTTAATTGTTAACATTTCACTCGTTTATGTAAAGAAGTAGTCACCGATTACATGTCTAATGACTGTATTTTACTCTTAAATGACACAACTATTGCTGTGAGAGGTGTTTTGTAGTTGAGGGCACTGGAAGTATTTAGTACGTAATATGTCATCTTCTTGGATTATAAATTTACAATTATCGTCATTAGCAATAAGTTACCTTTTTTGGCCAATACTTTATTACCAGGTTCTCGCTCTAAAATTACGTAACACATGTGAATATTGACAGACAATGTCGAATATTAGAAGTATTACGTTCCTTTTCTTGATACATGTATTAAAGAAAATCATTCGAGCAAGATTTATAATACCAGTTCGAAATTAATTTTGGGACGCTGTTCATGAACGTATTGTGTACAATTGATTCTTTTGTCGTAATATTATTCAACCCTTGTTGTCTAATATTGGTAATTCAGTACGATGTTGACCTATTTAATTGTATGCCCTAAGATCATTTTCCTACTGAAAATGTGTTTGCACCCATCATTCAGAACTGTTGTCTATCTTCATAAAAGCTGTTGTGTTTTCATTATATATGGATACTTGACATACAGACATTGCTTACGACTTGTTGATAAGACGACCGTCAAATCACACAATATTTCCCATTTTTGTCATTTATTGACCAAAGAGTTGATATTGAAAGTTTAACAAGCTATACATTCAGAAAGATAAGAAGACGGAATTGTTAATGTAGATACATCCACCTTGTAGTATACGAAGTACGTAACAAATGACAGGAAATATATGCGTATGCATGGTAATGTACGCTAAAAATGGTAATAGTCCTGTTCAAGTCCGAGGTTTTAGGGGGAAGGGACCAATCAATTATAGTACTGGTGAATGAGATATGATTACACATGTGTATTTAAGCCATCAACATTAAACTCAGCCAAAACGCATTGACTGCAATTGACTAAATCGTTATCACCCTTTCTACAGCAACCAACAACAAAACGCAAAGCATGATCCTGCATGAATAGGATCCGAGAACTTCCGAAAGATATTGCTTAATTAAATACACAATATACACAGTATTCAGTAACTGAGGTCTATATAAATAAACCCGTCTCTACATCTTCCTACAACTGCCATCTCCACGTAGATCAGACATAAAGACAGACTCCAAAAAATAGTGTTCGAATAAACTAATAATAGACATTTGAATTGACACAATGTCAAACCTGCATAGTTATACAAATATATACATAAATAAAATAATGTAACTGCCTAGGAAATATCTCTTGTTAGTACTGCCCATATTAAAACTATGTAAAACAATTAGGACTGTAATGTAGATACTAATATAAACTTCTATGTTTACCTGAGAATTGAGTGATAAGGACTGTGAAGGTGAGTAAATACTGGTAAACCATATCGTACTTCCTCGTCGTGCCTTGGTGATAATAAACTTCCTTGTCTGGCAGAACTGTACAAAAATAGACTCGAACAAAGCGACCAGTTAACAGTCAATACCGGTACAGGTAGGACTCGACAGACCCTAACAGTTAAAGGTATGCTGTTAGATACAACCCATACAGTGGTTACGTGACGACACGAGTAGTCGTTAACTCTTTTGTTCATAATCTGTGGCGGGTGTCAGAATTCCTTGTCTTTTGAAACTATAGCATTATATTTCAAACGCAAAACAAAAGTAATGTTTATTTTTTAAACGTAGTGTCTGCCATTCTTCCAAGGGAGTTACAATGTTTGTATGTATCATTTAATGTCAATACTTTTTAAACTACTGTGTGCAGACATCGAGCTTAAACTCGGAACTGCTAGTGATACTTATCTAAGTAGGGTATGTTTACATTAACCCAGATCAATAAGATGATAATTGTAAATACATTGCAATGACTTTTCACACCTTTTTTTCATGTGTTTTATCATAACAATAGTAACACACGCGGAAAAAATATATTGAAATGTTTGTTCAACAAGACTACTTAAAAATGTGATGGTCGCCTTGATTTTAGCCTCATGATTAACGTCACATTTAAAGACACCAATTCACCTCCGACTCGAATATAACTTGGATTTATTGAATTTGTGTTATGAAATAAATGACGAGCGACGATAACTACGACTGGTGACTAAACAAGAATAGGCGATCGATACCATACCAGTCACCAGTTAATGCTGACCCCAATAAACCCGGTTTCAAAGTTTTGATTCATCTGATTTGTATACATAAATTGTCTTCCAAATTTCTATTTTATTATACTATCTCGAACAGTTTTCTGAAAATAACCGAAAAATAAGCTAGTGAAGAAAAAATGAAAGATGAATTTCCAGAACAATAAAATAAGTCAGATACAATTTTTTGTAGCATATTGTGTTGAACAATATTCATCTACATGCTCTTTGTAAATAACTTTGTGACTAGACAAGCAAACTAAAATTAACTGTATTTTTTATTTATTTGTTTAGTTATTTTTTAGAACTTGTATATTTTTTCCAAAATGCAAATATGTCACATACATAATATATAATGTTTAATCAATGAAAGAAAATCTTTAAAAAAGGAAAATGAAAAACAAGTGAAAATGAATTCAAAAGGGGAATATCAGGACAAAATGTGAAGATGCTATAGATCTTCACTCTTTATAATGCCGACTACCAGTCTTCTGTCTCTGCTTCCAGAAATCAAACATAAAGTTTATCCCTCGGTACATCTTCCTCCTGCTTGGCGTTTTGAAAGCCTGAGGAAGAACATAAAAGGAAGATTATTAAATCGTTTGGTAAATCAGCATCGTCGATATCGTGTAGGTTGATGAGCCACAGTTTCTCCATTTGATGCTGTGGAGGGGGGATGGCACGGATGCTCGACAGATCAGCATTCAGATATATTCAGTTTTAATGGAGGCTGTTTGGAGTCCTGTCATCTGTGTTTTACGCTGCGTATAACGGACTTAGCATAAATGTACAGCTCAGAGCGGTACCGTAGTAAAACAATGACGGTGGATGGTACATGAAGACGCTGCTGACAGTTATTGCCGTCTTCAGTAAGGTGAGGAAATGGATGGTGTCTCTCTTCTTGTTCTTTTCTGATAGGAGCGCTTATACTTCAGGGATCACGGTACAAAATATATGTAAATGTAAATCTGATGATAGAATGCGAGACAAATGTAGAAAGTTCCATCACAATCGGTAGTGTAAGTTCAAGTGAGGATACCCAATTTTGCTAGCTTGGGTTGCACACCAGTTTACGGTCATCGTCCTACTTTCTGATAAAAAAAACTTATCAGAAAGGTGGACGATTTGGTTTAGTATAGTTTAACGTCCCATCAACAGATATGGTCATTTAAGGACGGTCTCTACTGTGTTTGCGTTTTGAGAGGCTGCGATATGTTTGTGTTTGTCTTCTTGTGATAGCGCGGAACTGATGCCGAGTTTATAGTGCTACCTCACTGAAACATACTGCCGAAGACACCCAGCAGGACTGTACCCGGTCACATTATACTTACAACGGGCGAACCAGTCGTCCCAATCCTAAATTGCTGAGCGTTAAACATGAGTAGAAACTACCATTTTTACAGACTCTGGTATGTCTTGGCCAGGGGACAGAACCCAAAGCCTTCCTCACATGGGCGAATGCTCAACTATAGGCATAATTAAGGGGGGCATTGTCAAGGGAGACATAAGGAAGAAGAAAGTTATTAAGAAAGAAGAGAAACGATAAGATCCCACATGTAGTCGCCTCTTGCGATCATTCAATGGGGGCAGCAGGTACAATTCTTACGCCCTGCCTGCAGGGACTCCTTTCAGATAAACACTTATTCAAAAGTTGACATAGGTAGCCTAGCATTAAAAAGCTTTCAGTCTTTTTTCTTCATCACGGATTATAAATATGAGATCTTAGGCAAATAAAAACGAAAGACTAATGACTGAATAGTTACCTTGATTTAACATGTCAATTACTAATTAGTAATAATTGATTTCATGGGTTTTTCGCGGGGACTATTTAACATACTAATAAGTATGTTGTGAATTCATGAGTACACATTGCTCTGGGTAAGTTATCGTTTGGTAGGTCATAAACTAAAAAGTCACAACGTCAGTAAAATTATATTAAATTAAATATTACCTGAGTATCGGTCAATCAATAACAGTCAGGAAATAAAATTTAAAATAGGACAAAAGAAAGTCTACGGACTGATTCACAAGGCCTATAAATACATGTACTTGTGCTTGAATTCTGACACCTGTTGGAACGTTGACGATTCTAATGAAACAGACAAAGATAAACGCAATAAATCTCAGGCACACACGCAGGAATATACACATAGGGAGGTATTTGCCAGGTTGCATAGGACTAGTAGTTAGCGCCTGATAAGGCAGCTGATTTAAACATTTTTTATTTGTCATTCAACAAAAAGGATTAGGCACAAGTTATCTCAACTTAGAAACGCCCTCTCCAATACATTTCATTATATTGATTACATGACAACAACAACAAATATATTTATAATATATATGAACAAAGAACAAAGGAAGGGAAAAGGGAAGAAAAGAAATTTAGAAGAATAAGAAAGAGAGATGATAGGATAATACTACTGACCTTAAAATCTGTTACTATTTTTAATGTAGGTTTGGACTATATGGAAGATATTTTCATTGTCTTCATCTGACAAATTTGGAGAACCGTACATAATAACATTTAGAGAAATATTACAATAACGTGAGATATCATCAATCAAAATTTGTCTTTGTCTGATATACAGCATACAATCAAAAAAGTAATGGACTGCATTTTCACACTCATTTCCACATGCACACATTGGATCACCTACAATATTAACTCTATACAAATCATAATTTAAACTACTACATGAATGACGCAATCGTGTATGTAAAATATTTAGTTTTCGATTTCCTACATGAAAAAAATAGGCAACAAGTAACCTTGGTTACGCTTAATCGATGATTTAAAAATGTTAACGAATGGCTGCTCTCTGACAGTATTTGGTAAATCGTTCCATAGTCTTATAGAAGAAGGAATAAAGGATTGGAATGAACTAGACAGACGGAAAAAATAAGGCAGCTCCTGCGAATTCCTCAAAATTGTATTGATTAATGTATATGCTAATTGTATTGATTGTATACAATTGTATATCTATGTACTGTAAAGCGCTTTAGAGTGGCTTATGTTAGCTAGATAGGGCGTCAAACTATTATTATATAATCACTAACAAAAACGAGTTGCCCACAGAGAAAAAAAAGGCAATTAAAATTGAGTACAAATGGCTAAGTTCAAACTCCTATTGAATAGACACTGTTCCGGTCAATCCAACAGAAACCTCGTGTCGGCCGGTGTGTAAGAGAAAAGCTTATCAGTAAATTAAGGACGTGTGTACCTTATCTTACCTGAAACGTCCAGACTTAGGTTCCTAGTAACCGTGATGATGTTTGTCCGGACGATCCTTGTCTTCGTGGTCAGCGCCCTCTGTGGTAAGTTATGTCCGAGTGTCTAGACGAACTGACCACAGGTTCTCGATTTCTGTAAATGGCGAGATATTCAAAAATAGTTTAAAACAACAAAATTAACTGTTATATCTTTTAAAAGAATATGCTACGAGGTATTCGTTTTTCTATAAGAGATATTTCCAAACGTGTATCTATATTGTGTAAGAGAGAGAAATGTCTTCACGCCAATTCGGACCAATATTTCTATTCGGAAAAGACATATTTTCTGATTACAGAGTTTCAATATATACATACGTGTACTATGTTCCGTATATATTAAACATACGCAGATTTTACCTGAATTAAGGGCAGGTAAATATAGGTTTCCGGTAGGATTACATATATTCATTCACATACTATTTATACTTATATCTCTGATAAGGCTCGTGTTGCATACACATGTACAATGTTTATACGGCTGATAGCTGCACGTGTGTCACAACTCGGCCCCACCCATATCTATTCTGCACGCGACATATGTGCCTGCGTCGCATTTAATTTGCCAAAAAAGTGACACAATATGTTGGTCAAGGGTTTAACTTAATTCGTTTTCTTTTGATCTAGATATTTTTTAAACTATTCTTTTCTTTTGGCTCAACAGAGCTTCCCTTTAATGAAGACATTTGAACTCGTTTCATCATGGACAATATCATATATCATACATGTATGACCTGTAAACTCATTTGTATATATAAATAGAGTAGGCTTAACAGGAAAATATTCATCGGTATGTTTCTGATAACATTGAGCAATAACTTTATGCAATGTTTTGTAGTGTTTCTAGCTTCTGATTGGTCGAAATTCACGTATGGGCCAATTTCGCTAAATTTGGAAGGTCGGTGTATAACGACACAGAAACCTCAAATATAACTTCTGTTTAGTCATCGAATAAATGGACTGGCTTCTGATTTGACGAAATTAAGATATTGTTCGATTTTGCTCAAATTAGGTTGTAGGGAATCTGACGAGGTTCTGTGTAGCAATTGAACAAGATGGCCGCCATTCAGCGGCTTCTGATCGGTCAAAATTTACATATAGTTTGTTTTTGAACAAATTTGGTATTCATTCATATAATGACACTGCAGATTGTAAATACCGATAATTCGTGAAATTTCAACCGAGAAAGTATTTATCATTTTTTCCTTTAACGAATTCAATTACTACTTCAAATAACTCTCGCATTAAGCAATGTCGCAAAAGTGTCGTATGTGCGATGGGATTAAAGAACAGTTCAACCAAAATTAATAACAGTATTCTGATCAAGTTTGCTACGAAAAGTGACAGTTGATAAACTGAAACAGCAAGACAGTTACTAGTACCTATACAAGGTCTATTAACAATATCTTACATACAGAGACGTCCTTAAATGACAATGTCTGTTAAACAATACTAGACCAAACTTAACCAAACTTACATACCGATCTTCTTTAACGAATCTTAAAACACTGCATAAAACTGTATTTCCATTGCAGTCAAATCTGAATACACTGATCCTCACTGCTCTGGAAAACAGGTAATCGTACACCTGTTTGAGTGGAAATGGACGGACATCGCAGACGAGTGCGAACGGTTCCTGTCAAAGAAAGGCTACTGTGGAGTACAGGTCTGTATACAGCTGATGTCTAGATATTTAACATGCGTTATCACGTGTCCGAGAAGTTCTGATATGTCCACTCGCTTTGCGATCCCAGTTACGACTGCCCCTTTTTGGATACCTTTCTTGTATGTTCCTCGTGTATTTCCGGTCTTAAAGATCTCTTCTAGAGCCTACCTATATGGGATGTAATGGCTGCATCCGATGAGCTACACAAACAAAAAACCAACACAAGAAGATAGGAATAACGTTTATAACTAATGTTTATGATCCCTGTCAAAAAAGCCAGGTACTGGAAAACAGTGCGTTAACGGACTACAGTTTCTCTGCAACAGCGTGGCCTTGGTCGACTCTTTTTTCGGCAGTACAATAAGATGCAACCCTCAAATTGCCGCTTTAAAAAAGTCCCTGCATGTAAGGCGTAATAATTGAACATGCCGCCCCCATTCCATGATCGTGAGAGGCGACTAAATTTGGGATCTTATCTTTTGTCCTCTTTCTAAACAACTTTCTTCTCCCTGATTTATCCCTTGACAATGCCTCACCTTTGGCCTTTAGTTGAACGTTCGCCCCTGTCAAGAAGGCTTTGGGTTCAATGAGTATAATGTGACCGGGTGGGGTGTCCTGCTGGGTGTCTTCGTCAATATGTTTCAGTGAGGTAGCACTATAAAGTCGGCATCAGTTCCGCGCTGTCACAAGGAGACAAATACTAACATATCGCAGCCTCCCAAAACACACACGCATACACTACACGCTTGCATCTTGCACACAGGGGAGGCCGTCCTTAGATAACCATAGCTGTTGATAGGACGTTAAACAATACTAAATCTAACCAAACCGCTCTGAAAACTTGAGTGACGAGACTAAACCACTGAGGGACGTTGACGACCATGCGTTAGGATAGGGTCAATAGTTGGGGAGAAGGATCAAATGACCCCATTTCGATATCCTTGTGTTATCTATTGTATTCAAATATATGAGCTATTTTCGGAACCAGTGTAATTCGCACTAACTGAAGTAGTTTTAGGATGCTATATCTAATAGCTTTCAGCATTTTCCGACCAGATTACCGAGGACTTCATATGGAAAGTTCGTTACGTTTAGGTGCAGTTTCGGGTTATTCAAAGGATCTGTTTATGTTACATTATATTAGGCATCATATAAATGATGGTTTAAAGTCAATGTCATGTCCATAATCTGTCAATTTGTACTCTGGCTCTATTTAGGTGTCTCCAGCTAATGAGTATGCCGTGATAGACCAGCGCCCTTGGTGGGAACGCTACCAACCGGTTAGTTACAAGATTGACACGCGCAGTGGGAACGAGGCTCAGTTCAAGGACATGGTAACTCGCTGTAAAAACGTAGGAGTCAGGTGGGTGGATCTATATGAGTACTTGATATTACATAAAAAAGGTTATGTGCAACTGCATCTATAACGATCTTCGAAATAAATTCAAAATATGTTTTTAATATTGATTATGTTGAAACATAATATTTTCTTTCAAAAGCTATGTCATCAAGGTAACACATATGATTACAACATGGAAAATGTTATATACTGACTAGGATTTATGTCGATGCTGTCGTAAACCACATGGCGGGTCTCGGAAGGACCGGAACCGGAACTGGTGGTTCTCATTTCGACTCGGATAATTTCGACTTCCCTGGCGTACCGTACCGTCGGGAACACTTCAATCCAAGAAGCAAGTGTCCTTCCGGAAGCGGAAATGTCGATAACTACGGCGATCCGAATAACATCAGAAACTGTTTCCTGGTGGGTCTTACAGATCTGAATCAGAACTTAGAATATGTTCGTGACAAAATAGCGGGTTACTTCAATAAACTAATCGCTATAGGGGTGGCAGGCTTCAGGATGGACGCTTCAAAGCACATGTGGCCCGCTGACCTCAAGGCGATCGAGGAGAGAACAAACGAGCTACCGGAAGGCGGGAAACCATTCTTTTATCACGAGGTCATAGACCAGAATGATGGCGCGGTGAAGGTCACAGAGTACGAGCCGTACGGGTACGTCACGGAAATGCGGTATTGCCAGAAAATCGCTTGGGGAATCAATAATTTCGGTCAGCTCAACAATGTTGTCGATTACGGTTGGGGAATGACTGACTCCGCGCATGCGTTTATATTTGTTGATAACCATGACAACCAGAGAGGTCATGGCGGCGGAGGAAATCTCGTCACACACAAACAACCACGAAGCTACAAGCTGGCTCAGGCGTTTACGTTGGCCTATAACTACGGTTTCCCACGCGTCATGAGCAGTTACTTTTTCCAGAGCACGGATCAAGGACCACCTCACAATGGCGATTTCTCTATAAAAGACGTGACCATCGGAAGTGACGGGTCGTGCGGAAATGGCTGGGTATGTGAACATAGATGGCCGGCAATTGCAAATATGGTTGGGTTTCGCAACGCTGTAGCGGGAACAGATCTTAACCACTGGCGAAACGAAGAGGACGAGGTTTCCTTCAGCAGGGGGAATAAAGGCTTCTTTGCCATGGCCAAGCAAGGGCACATGGATGTGACGCTACAGACGGGACTTCCAGCTGGACAGTATTGTGACCTCATCACCGACTGTAAGACCAAGGTCACGGTCGACGGAAGTGGGAACGCCCACATCGTTATCAGTGACAACGAAAATCCAATCCTTGCATTCCTCGTTGGTAAGTCGAAATTAAGATTGTTAATAAAGTGGATTGTTTAACGTTAGTAAACGTTATCATCCCATCATGACGATAAAAAATAGTTCCAAATCAGTTAAATGTGAACACAACAAACAGGTACAATAAGTATTTATCGGAAAATTAGGGAAACAATATATGAAGTAGAAATATATCTCACACATTTGAAAAAAAAAGTGTTTTTCCGGGAAAGCTTTAATTTGGTTACCTTAAAATCGACATACAGAAAATAAGAGACACAATATAATGAAAGATGTCAGAAAAAAATGCAAAATTTACACGAAAAATGGAAAATTTTAAATACACATTAATTAATAAAAAAAAACAACAACATTATAATCGATCAGTTTAAAACTATAAAAAATTAATTTCATGGGTTTCGCCTAAATATGGATGGAATGAAAAATGAAACTGAATAGCTATACATTAATTTAGTAGGAAATCAATTAAAAAATACCGTTTTCAAATAATTCGATAATTTACATAAACAAGAAAACAATCGAAAAAAATGAGATTGAGTAATTTTGAACCCAAACATCGAAGGATATATGTTGATAATATTGAGCATATCTTTCAACATGCATGCATATTTCCGACGTGTAAGGGAATGTTCTAGAATCTATTATATCAGTGCTTCTCGTGAAGCAGTTTTGTGTCTAATTTCCTTCTCACTCTCCAAAACGTCAATCATATTTTCATTTCATTTTTGACAATTCGCTTTTAAGGTGGTCCTTCTGGACCTACAAACACGCACGGATCATCCGGTGGCACATCTGGTGGTACGTCAGGTGGCACATCCGGTGTCACATCCGGTCCTGTTGTAACTTCCGGTCCTGTTGTAACTTCCGGTCCTGCTCCTACTGGATGGGCGAGGACTGTGATCATGATACAAGCCCAGACCAGAGCTGGACAGGACGTTTTTATTCGAGGAGGAATCGACCATGGCCATCGAAATGGTACCGAACCCAATTATCATTTGAACCATTCATGCCCCCCCCCCCCCCCCCCCCCCCCCCNTGTATGCATATATCTGAGCACTTTTAAAAATGATTTACCCTTGACTTTAAGATCACTACAATAAACCCTTCATAGCTATAAAAAGAATCGATATATCAAGATAACAGCAAAGTAGCTAAACCACACACATATCCGTTGTTGTAGGTTGTACAAACCAGGCGTCCTCTAGCGCATGTGCTATTCCAATCAAAAGTCACGAAATCGGTACGGGCAGCCATTATGCCGGATATGACGCATGGCGACAAGGCGATGACTTCCTGGACTGGTATGGGCCAGAACCGGGTCAAGGGTCATTTCACGGAGCACCAGCCAAGGGCACGCCTGCCGTGTGGACAACCAACCAGCCTGGTGGCCATGGCTACACACCCTTGAATACGTATGTATTTCGGACAACATACCCGATGTAGTATGTTAATGTATAGTCCGTGGTAATATGAACTACAGTTCATTTCATCATTGAAGTCATTTCTTCGCCTCGTGGTAAAATTGGACCCCTACCTGTTTTTGTTCTAATCAGTCTCTTTGTACCAATAGTATTTTTCGATTTATTACATTTGCTTTATCTATCTATTTGAAAGAACGAAAATGAGGTCTTGGGATGGGAAATTGGGTCGAGGCAGTGGTGGTTCTCCTTACCTGGCCATGGTCAACCATTTTTTTCTCAACATTTGGGTATATGTTTACACAGGCGTCAGACATATTTATATAATGGTTGTCAGCTAGTAATCACAGGAGCCAGATACATAAATATATTGGTTGTATGATAAGTAAACACATGAACTAGACGCATTGATATACTAGTTGCAGCAATAAGTATGATATTTTCTGTTTCTACGATCTTGTCCCTATCCCTACATAAACACTGGATACCTGTATGTATAATGGTATAATTGGTGGTTAGGTAGACTACACAATGGTACTTGTTAATCCTTGTTAATCGTACTGTGATCAAAGGATTAACGCACCACTATCGTTAAACGTGAAGTGATAGAAATGAGTCTGTCCCTAACACAAGTGATTTAAAAAAAATAATCTATTATCTAAAACATAATCATTCATTAGAATTCCCCTGAGTTGCAGAAATAATACAGTAAATATCAATGATTCCTGACTTAAATGAAACGTTTATTGAGTGGTCGTATAAGACTGAACATCGGTTAATCAGAATTACAGAAAGAGTTTGTCTTTCATCAAAACATCGAATATAACAGGATGTCCTTAAATCCAGGTGTCGGTATTGGCAGGTTCACTGTTCCATCACGTGATGTCCACTCTCTTCACTTATTGTAGGTATGGCGAGCACTATTGGTTGGTAGATGTAGACATGGACTGCTCCAAGACGGAGAACGGCTGGTTCGAAATCAAGGCTCTCATCAACGACAACTGGGAGCACGACATGCCCGTGACCGGATGTGGAACTGAGACGGCCCCTTACGCCTCCAATAATCATTGGGTAAAATGTGGTTCCAAAAACGTTCTACACTTCAACAGCGGCAGTTGTGAAATATCTCCTATCAGTAATTAATGAATCATTAAAATGTTCCAGACTTAACGCGTTTCGTTTTTCAACCACAACCAATGTTCGAAGTGTTTATAAAATGGAGTGGGGATGGGATTATTGAAATCATGTAGGTCACGTGAAATTTCCCCTGGAATATGTCATAGCAAAATTGAAGGCTCAGTGTGCGCCACCTTGTGGAGGAGAAAAGAAGAATAGTTCGACCCTTTCATGTACATCAAAAGAATCTAGCGGTCGCGTAACGGTAAAAAATGACTGACTTTGGAGTCGGGTGTCGTTCCTCTGTAATCCTCAAAGAACAAGTATCAGCCTAGCGATTGGTATTCCGTCTTTTCGTATTGCAGAGTTATCTGCTCTTGTGAGCAGGTATTTATTGTTACGTCATTGGTTTGTGAAAGTACCGTCATCAATTTTTGAGAAAACGACGTAACTTTCTCATACAAACCAATGACGTAACAATCAATACCTGCTCACAAGAGAAGATAACTCTGCAATACGCAAAGATGGAATATAACGCTAAACTCGACAAAAAGTAAAACCTAGATAAATATTGAAGAATTTACAATAATCAGATTTATGTTTCTTAAATAATAGTATAACAAATGTCATGCATTATTACTATTCGTAATTTAACTAAGGAGTATAGGTAATGTGTTTACACATGGTACAAATCTATCTATCTTTTTCTAACAAAACAGGTCAATAAACTCCACTATGTCACCGTTATGTTCATCTTATAAGTTGGGTTTATATTTGCAAACATTCAACCATACGTAAAGGTACTTAGTTCACATTTCTATATCCTTGGAATAATGTACTTAAAATAAAAATACAAATTCGATTTATTTTTAAATTCTAAACATTTTATTTCAGTGTTATTTTGCACCCGAGTACATAAACTTATTGTAAATATATTATTTTTTATCGTGCATCTTATCTATTTTACATTATTTCTACGTAGACCATTGTAAATATGTGATTGCGCTTCATTAGCTAGAAAGAAAACAAAAACATGACAAATGGACAAGACATAATTGCATCTAGCGTATCTCAGATACATAGATAACCGGGGGCCTCTGGTTTACTATTCCATATGTTAGGGAGGGTTAATGAAGTCAGTATATGTGGTCATCTTGTCCATAAACCACATTGAAGTATGTATTGTAAAATATGACCAGGCATTTTGCCGAATGTTGAAAACAAATCTTTTTCTGGACATTCTTGATGTCTGTATTGGAATCTCATTACTATTTGATTTTTATTTGAAGTGCACTTGCCTTTTACCATGGATCAGAAAGAATAATCCAATACAATACAAAAAAATAACATGCTAATATTTAAAGATTTAAAAAGGAGATATAATGATTACTCTTCAAAGATATTCCAATGACATATTCATGTATACGTCCAAAAATTTGATGCAGCGTGCTGTTTTCAAGGCAGATAATACAAATTGTATACCTCTATTGTAGTAAATTACGATATTTTTTATTTAATTTTTTGTAAAAAAAAAATATTGTGAAAATATGTTAAGAGATTAGGCGTAAAGATTTTTTTTTTTTTTTTGCGTTTTGACTAGGATATTTTTTTCGCGTTTCCTTGTCAAACGAGGTCAAAGAAAAGCGTTGCCCACATATTTGCACTTTACTGATCGCATCCCAACTTTGGGACGAAAGTTTGAATCTCATATGAAATGAAAGTATAATTATAGGGTTATGGGACCATTTTTATGCATTCTGCGATGTGTCCATAGGCATGTTAAAGTAATAGCAATTGTAAAAAATGCTGTGCCTACACATCAACTTTTTAGATTATCTGTCATCTTATTTTTGTGACAAAACATATACTCAGCAAAAGTCGTATTGGTTGTCCCATGAATAGTAATTCAAGAAACGTAACTCTTACTATTATGCTTATAAATTTGATTGAAAAGGCCAGAACAGATTACTCATACTATAAACGAATGCATGCGTTTCAGATATCTTATAAAGCATGCATGCAGTATACGTTTCAATGAGAATAATAACCCTCCCAGTGTTTCCGGTTGTGGGTCTGTAACTTTAAGTGTCTTTGTATGACAGGAAGAACGAAACTTGTTCCAGGAACAAAAATAAAATCACAACAACTTCACAGAAAGACCATCCATTATTGTGTATCAAGTCCTGAAAAGACAGAAATGAAGGCATCAGTATATGACAAAGACGAAAGAGTTATATTAGACACACTTTTTTTAGCGAAATCGTTCCAATCCTGTGTACATAGTACACAGTCCTGACACAGCAAAACATACGTTTACAAAAATGGGTTTATCGTGACGTCAAATGATATTGTTACAAATATTGTCAACAAAAGTAATACATATAATCATTAATAACAAAAAAACCAAAAAAACAACCAAAGTGGACAACTCTTGCTGCAAAACCGCTGCTTCTCAATGAATTCCACTTTTTCCATAAATCCAGATTGTAAACAGATTGTGGTTATACTGCATACAATGTTACATAATAATTACAACTGGTTTATATGTGCTTTTATTACATACTTACTAATAAATATGGTGTTTTTTTTGTATATGCGATACAACACAATTGCTCTATCCCATATCAGCCCTCGCCGTATCACACCCCAAAACCAGTATCAGCCCCCGCCGTATCACACCCCAAAACCCGTATTAGCCCGCAAAACCCGTATCACACCCCTTTTGGATTTTTTTTCGTTTTTCAATATTTCAAAAGAAAAAAAATATCGTAAGATAAAAAAAAATATTCGTAAGAATGTAATAAACAGAATAAATCATGACTTTTTCCACACCCCTTTTTGATTTTATTCTCGTTTTTCAATATTTCAAAAGAAAAATGTATCATAAGATAGTAGCTTTTATTAGTAAGTATGTAATAAACAGAATAAAACATAACTTTTTCCATATCACACCCGGTATCAACCCTGATCTAATATCAGCCCTCGGGCCTTCGGCCCTTGGGCTGATATTGCAGTCTCGGGTTGATACTGGGTGTGATATGGAAAAAGGCATGTATTATTCTCTATCTATTTAATACACAATGTACATCTTCAGTTAAATTAAATGATGTATTGCCATGCGTATTGAAAAGTGCATACAGGGCTTAGGAACTACTCTGGAGAAAGTTTTATTTAACCATCCTGTTCATTGGGATTGTATGCTTGCTGCTAATAACTGTATCCTCTGTATGTACCCAACATTTTTTTCACACTATCAGATTACACGCTTGTACCATGTTTTCTTTTTTCATCCGGAAGTTGTCAGCCATCTTGGATTTTGAAATATGATGCCAATACTAGAGCCATTTAATTTTATCAAAGTAGGATATAGAGTTATGTGTAATAAATTAACATATTTGCAGCACTCTAATTTCAAAGAAAAATATCAAAAATCTGAATTTTCTTTCATCTAACCGATATATTCTCGTTCTTCATTTTTGGCGAAAAAAGGTGAAAAATGGGCCAAATTTAAAAATGGCCTCATTTTTTTCCCCAAAGGAAATCTTTTAGGACTTTTTTTCTATCATACTAGAGACATTGGTGAGTTGAAATCAGAAGAGTTTGATAACATAGTAATATTTTCCCCAGGTTCGACCTATTCCACCGACCTACTGAAACTCTTTACTTCAATAGATACCAACACAAGGTCGCTACGAGTTGTCTTCCCTCTATCGGTGGTGAGGCGCTCATCCACATATCTGGCGTTTCTCAGCTTTAACTCTGCGAACAAAACTATTCACTTTGAATCATCTGACACTTCTGATTAAGTTTTAACGTCAATAAGGAACACTTAGATGGATCATTAAGAAAATTGCTTGATGCAATCGAAACCTGCTAAACAAGAGGGCACGTGCTCATTAAACCATTCTAATGCTCGTGCAAGGATTCCAAAAAAACGAGTTTCTTGTACATATTACATGCTAAAATCATGCAACACAATAAAGAATAAAGTCTACATATTGAAAATAGTATTAGGCTACAAGTCTCTCTGGAGTTCCTTCAATTAGTTAAATATTTGTTTGAATAATCCTTTACCGAAACAAAAGTTTTTGAACATAGAATCCCTGTTTGAGCGTGCGAATAGTTTTATAAATAAGGACCATGGCTCAATATCATATTTATCTAACTGATCATCATGCATTCAATCGATAATTTGATTTCAGATTTCTTTCAAAAATATTAACATCGGATTAATCTAATTAAAATGATATCTTCACATCGCTCCCGTTTACCGATATGTCGCGCTAACACATCAGTAAACGGGAGCGATGTGACGATATAATATTAACTAGATTAACATCGGATGTTCGAAAAACAAAACACAGCAATAACTTAAACAAAAGAATAATCGTAATTACCGTTAGGGCGCTTCAGCACTATATATAAGCTTGCTTTCATGAGTTTATTTTCTTCTTTTATCTTAATTAACATTTTAATAAAAAAAAAAACCAACAAGAAACAAAACTACATAGCAGAATATTTCACGAGTTTTTATCAAAATGTACTTCTTCACACAGCAAAAAACCGCTAAATCATTATGAAGATGATCCGCCGCCTGGCATTGAAAGAATTGGATGATATGACTGATATGCTTCGATACTGTTAGATATTAGCATATAAAGTTTATCAGGGAAATATTCAGAAAAATGGCGGGATCAAACATTTTACAAATCGTCTTCCAACACCTAAAAATACGAGGAGCTGCACGTGCTGTAAGATATAAAACATACTACAACTACTACAATTACTACTAATTCTACTATAAATATAAACTTTATTTATTTTACAACAATTATGAAACAAGTTATTTCAATTTATATTAATCACTCTTGTTGGCCCGGATGTTAGCGTGTAGGGGTCTTAGTGTGGGAGAAAACCGGAGTACTCGGAGAAAACCCACGTGGTCGGGCAGGTGACCCCAACCTTTTCACGTTCGATCGTGGAATCGAACCCTGACCGCCTTGGTGAAAGGCAAATACGCTATTCACTGCACAACCCGACCTACTACTACTAAT